CTGGGGATGGCATGTAATAACCACAGTTTAAATTCTTGGCGTCAGAGCAGCAGGCGGTGATGGGAAAGCCGTCTGAGACCAGATCTGGGGCCCTTTGTGCCAAGAGCAAAGGATCTGGCGTTGTTCCGAAGCATAAAATCTTAGATTCCATAGATGCCATTTGGGTGTGTAAGACATTCTCATGGTTCAGAATTTAAGAGGAATAAGGAAATAAAGGAATAATTGTTTTGCACACGAGTAGTATTTCAGAAGCAAAGAGTTTGAAGCAGAACTTGATCATTAAGAGGGGCTGAGGTTTTGATTGTGTGCTTTTTGTTTTAACTGCTATTTGCTATATTAAGTCATGCAGGAGTCAGCCGCAGTGTGGCTGTAATGACTGCTTTTCTGATGAAGACTGACCAACTTACCTTTGAAAAAGCCTATGAAAACCTCCAGACTATCCAACCAGAGGCCAGGTGAGTTCCTTGTTAGAGAAATCATTCTGTTTTTGTGATTTTACTTATTTCAAGGAAACTTAACTTTGTTTGCCTTTACAGGATGAATGAGGGTTTTGAGTGGCAACTGAAATTATACCAGCTCATGGGATGCGAAGTCGACACCTGTAGTGCAATTTATAAGCAATATCGTTTGCAAAAGGTTACAGAGAAGTATCCGGGTGAGTAATAATCGCTCTCTGTACTGGGACCTTTCTAGATGCTATTTACTCTGACACCAAGCACCGCAGATGTATTATCTCACTTTCCCAGCATCCCTTGAGACAGGTCCTTTATTTCCTTTTGAAACTGTGGTTTAGCAAGAAATACCTTGTTCAGGGTCACATGGATTGTGAGTGGTGGGTCTGGGATTTGAACTCAGGCAGTCTGCCCAGAACCCAGGGGATCTCCTACCACATCCGACCTTTTCAACGCTGGGTGCTTTTTAAAAAAATTTCTGAGGTTAGCACTTGTTGCCTCAGTTTGACATGAACTGAATTTTGTCTGAAGATGCAGAGTGTTACCAGTAGCTACATTGTCATTGTCACGCAGAACTGCAGAGCTTACCTCAGGAACTCTTTGCTGTTGACCCAACCGTGGTTTCACAAGGATCGAAAGAGGAGGTTCTCTACAAATGTAGAAAGTGCAGGTAAAATATTTTGTATTTCCTGGAGATTTTATCTTGTCTCAGCAGCTGAAAAGTACTGAAAGTTTCAGTTTATTAAATCTCTGTAGGGAGAATTTGTTTAGTTGAATACTATAGACATTTCAAATTCAAATCTGCTTCCAAGAATGTAAATTCTTAGTAGTAAAGCAATCAAGTTACTTGTAGAGACTACTGAAAAGTAAAGTAGCCCTTTAAGAAATAACTGCACATTTCATCTATTTTTTTTTTATTACTTTGGAAGTCATTCATGCTTTTGTTTGTTTGGAGGCTGCAGGAGGTCTTTATTTCGAAGTTCGAGCATTTTGGATCATAATGAAGGAAGCGGCTCCATAGCCTTTGCCCACAAGAGACGGGCACCGTCCCTCGTGCCCGTCATGGGGAGTCGGGCTCAGTGCACATCCTATTTCATTGAACCTGTGCAGTGGATGGAACCCGCCCTGCTGGGAGTGATGGATGGGCAGGTGAGGACACACCTGATTTTCTAGTGTCATTAAATCATCTCTTTTGTTCCTTGTTGCATTTTAAATCATATTTTATCTAGTGTTTTACTCCATCTTACCTACTTTCTTTCTGAAGATTATATCTTTTTAGTGTAGACAAGAATCTATCAAAAAATTAAACAAAAACCAGCTGTTCTAAAATAGTGAACCACTCTGCATGGGTTTGGGTTGATGGCAGGCCGGTTCCCCTGGGTCTCTCATAGGTCCCCCAGGCCAGAGCAAGCTGTGGTCTCAAACCATTGCTTGGCCTCTGCCCGTAGGCTGCAGGCACTGAAGCAGGTTGCACAGTGGAAAAAATAAATAAAATAAAATAAAATAAATAAAAAGTGAACCACTTTTGACTGAGAGGTGTTGGTCTAAGTTAGTTCTTTTTAGTGCTAAAAATACATTAGAAGAAAATATAGTAGACTTAAGCATTTTTGGACTTATCTATTTTACTAGAGTATTAGTTTGTTTTGTTTTTAAATAGGCAGGAATCTGAGGCCTAACTATAGTATCTGAATATCAGAAACAGAACATGAGAATCCTAACATGCTTTCCTACCTTTAGCTTTGATTGTTTTGGTTTGAAATCATAAGCTGCAGACTGATTTAAAAGTCAGCTCACATGCCACATCTATGAAACATTCCATTTCAAGTCTTAAGCTTCACCTTTCCCCCTGGTGCTGGAATTAATCTGTTCCTCCTTGAACCTGCTAGGGTACAACATCCTTCTTATTCTTAACACAGCTATTGTAGCAAATTGCTATCCCATTGCATCCCATCGATTAGATCTGAACTTCTTGAAGGTAGGGCCCAGGTCCTGTTTCTATATTCTTTTTTTTTTTTTTTAAAAATATATTTCTTTATTGATTTCAGAGAGGAAGGGAGAAGGAGAGAGATAAAAACATCAATGATGAGAGAAAATCACTGATTGGCTGCCTCCTGCACACCCCACACTGGAGATGGAGCCCACAACCGAGGCATGTGCCCTTGGCCGGAATCGAACCCGGGACCCTTCAGTCCGCAGGCCGATGCTCTATCCACTGAGCCAAGCCGGCTAGGGCTTGTTTCTATATTCTTTGTTGCCAAAGATAATTGTTCTGTACAAAAGTGAATGAATGAATCAGGGAATTTGCTTTTTTTTCCAGCTTCTGTGCCCCAAATGCAATGCCAAGTTGGGTTCTTTCAACTGGTATGGTGACCAGTGCTCCTGTGGTAGGTGGATAACTCCTGCTTTTCAAATCCATAAGAACAGAGTGGATGAAACGAAAGCGCTGCTGGTTCTGGGATCACAAACAAGAAAAATGTGAACTTGGGACATTTGATATCTGCTGGAGGGTACATGCTACTTGCTTCTCATCGTTCACACGGTGTCCTGGTGTTTAGACTGTCAGCGTTGCATTTGATATGTGAGAAGATGCACTCACTTGGACACTTTAAGTATAAAGACTACTTCATATGGAAATAAAAACTTTTTTCCTCCTAAATCCTTACCCATGGATACTTTTTTTTTTTGATTTGCGAGAGAGAGACATTGATGTGAGAGAGGAACATCAATTAGTTGTCTCCATACGAGCCCTGACGGGATCAAACCTGAAACCTGGGTATGTGCTCTGACCGGGAATCAAACCCTTGACCCTTCAGTGCACAGAACAGTGGTCCAACCAATTGAGCCAGGGCTCAAAACCTCTTCATCATGTAAATTACACTTTATTTGATATTAAAATCTATAACCCAGATACTTCCTCTATTTCATGTATTTTAAAGAGTTCTGGTTTTGAGAATGTTAGTTATGTGATCTTAAGATCTGGATGAACAAAAGTATGTAAAAAAATTAGAAACCATCATATTTAAATAGAGATATTCTTTTATTTCTAGAAATCTCTTTTTAGAGATATTAGTAAATCTACATGTCTGGATTTTTCTTGCAAATGTAGATGGAAAGGCTATGAGGAAAACACTGACTATGGTGTAGTTTTCTGTCACTGTTCAGGAAGCCCAGGTATCTAAAATTTTAGAAAAGTGTGTTTAAGACTCTTTTTAAAAAAAAAATGTTTTTATTGATTTTAGAGAGAGTAAGGGTTAGGGAGAGAAACATCAATTTGGTTGCCAACACACATGCCAGGGATCAAACCTCCTACCCAGGTACATGCCTTTGGACAGGAATCCAACCTGAAACCCTTCAGGGAGCAGGCTCCGCTCTAACCAATGCGCCACACTGGTCAGGGCAATTAGAGCTTTTTAAGATACATGATTGCTGTATAAAAATCAATAATTACTCTACCCCAGGAATAACTGAATTAAAAAATTGTGTAAATCAAGACTGTAAAACTATTAAAATTAAAAAAGATCTTGACCTCAGGAGTGGGAAGGGTTTCTTTAGCAAGATACAGAAAGCAGAGATCACAAACAAAAAGGATGGATAAATGTGACGTCACTGAAATGAAAACTCACAGGATAAAAACTCCATATACAAAGACAAGTGTTGGCCTAGAGCAGTGATGGCGATCCTATGACACCTCTGACACGCGAACTCATTGTTTTGGTTGATTTTTCTTTGTTAAATGGCATTTAAATATATACAATATATATCAAAAATATAAGTCTTTGTTTTACTATGGTTGCAAATATCAAAAAATTTCTATATGTGACATGGGACCAGAGTTAAGTTAGGGTTTTTCAAAATGCTGACACGCCGAGCCCAAAAGGTTCGCCATCACTGGCCTAGAAGCCCTCTGTAGCATATGCACCAGTGAGATGAACAGTCAGCTGTCAAGAGGTACACATGATTGAGAGAAAGAAAATTCAACAGCAAGTTTTATAAGAGATAGGAATGGGACATTCCCAGGAGAGGAAATAAGGTTTAATAAACACAAAAAGGATGCCTCATGACTTTGTAAGAAAAATGTAAATTACAGACACCTTTCACAGTGGCAAAGAGCAAAGGGAACCCGTCACTGCTAGCCAGGGAGTAAATTGGTGTAATTTGGCAAATATTAATGCTCCTCTATGACCTGGCATATGTCTTAGACATGCTTGCACATGTAAATAAGGAGACACACAAATTGAAACAATTTAAATGTCCATCAGGGAAAGGACAAAATAGTTATATATAATTTTCAAATAAATACTAAAAACAGTTCAAACACATATCAAAAGTAATGTTGAATGACTTGGAAAATAGACTACGATACTTTTATGTATATTAAAAACCCCAAACAACACTAAGTGTATGTATCTACAAACATTTAAACATGTAAAATAAAAATGGACTTGAATGAGTCCTATAATATTCATAATAAACATTGCCTATGTGGATGGAGGGAAAAGTGGAGTTCAACTTCATAATGTTTAATTTCTTATGAAAAATCTAAAGTGAAAATGGAAAATGTTAATGTTTATTTTCGGTGGTAAGTACACAAATGCTTGTTTCATAATCATCTGCCCCCCCCCCCCTTCTTTTTGTTAGTCCTTATCTGCGGGTATTTTCCACTGACTTTTAGGGAGAGTGGGAGAGAGGGACAGACAGACATCTGAGTGAGGGAAACACATGGTCGGTTGCCTCCTAGGGGAGCCCAGGACAGGGTCCCGCCTGGGGCGGACCCTTTGATCCGCAGGCCGACGCTCTAGCCACTGAACCAAACTGGCCAGGGCTCGGGCCCTTTTAGTAAAAGGTAAAAGTTTTGAAAATGAAAACTTGAAAACCTGATGGAGTTCAGTCACGGTGATTTAAAAAAGTGTATATGGTGGGTATAGAATAGAGAGCTCTTGCCGGTTTTATTTTAGTTTTTATGTCAATTTTTGAATTTGCGTTGGGTGAGAATAAAGTGTTAGGAATTCCATCCAAGTGAAAGCTGTCATAACCGATGGTGGCAGAAGTCACGTTCCGGGAAAGGGACCTGGCGCCGGGCTGTGTGTGTGTGTGTGTGTGTGTTGTTGGGGGGAGGGCCGGCTGTGTGTGTGTGTGT